ATGAGGAGGACAGAGGGATGTGGGGATGGAAACGGTGCCACTGGACACAGAACTGGGGGAGCAGGACCCTCCCTCACCTTCTCCTTCTCGATGAGGGAGGGGATGAAGCTCCTTTTGTCCGCGGGGCGGTTGGTCACCGGGTGGATCATGACCTCGTGGGTGAAGAAGTCCACGGCCGGCTGGGGGGACACACGGAGCGGTGAGGGAGGGAGGGAGGGAGGGAAGGAGGGAGGGAGGGGGCAGCCGGGACGACCCCCTGTCCCACCCCCGGGGGCAGGGGGAGCAGCCACGGCCTCACCTCGTAGGGGTTGAAGTTGACGTCCCCAAACTGCCCCTTCTGCAGGCGCTGCACCAGCTCCACCTGCTCGTCCGTCAGCTTCACGTCCGCCCCCGTCATCCTGTCCTGCACCGTCCTCCTGCGGGAACGGGAACGGGAATGGGAATGGGAATGGGAACGGGAATGGGAACGGGAACGGGAATGGGAATGGGAACGGGAATGGGAACGGGGAGGGTCAGGAGGGTGAGGCAGGAACTGTCCTGCACCAGGGACTGTCTGTCCTGCACCAGGGACTGTCCTGCACCATCCTCCTTCGGGAATGGGAATGGGAATGGCACGGCAAGGGTGAGGGGGGTGAGGCAAGGGCTGTCCTGCACCAGGGACTGTCCTGCACTGTCCTCCTGCGGGAATGGGAATGGGAATGGGAACGGGAATGGGAATGGGAATGGCACGGGGAGGGTCAGGAGGGTGAGGCAGGAACTGTCCTGCACCAGGGACTGTCCTGCACCATCCTCCTGCGGGAATGGGAACGGGAATGGGAACAGGGAGGGTCAGGAGGGTGAGGCAGGGACTGTCCTGCACCAGGGACTGTCCTGCACCATCCTCCTGTGGGAATGGGAATGGGAATGGGAACGGGAATGGGAACGGGAATGGGAATGGGAACGAGAACAGGAACGAGAACAGGAATGGGAATGGCACATAGAGGTTGACGAGGGTGAGGCAGGGACTGTCCTGCACCAGGGACTGTCCTGCACCAGGGACTGTCCTGCACCGTCCTCCTGGTGGGAATGGGAACGGGAACCGGAATGGGAATGGGAATGGGGAGGGTCAGGAGGGTGAGGCAGGGACAGTCCAGCACCACGGGAACAGCACGGGGAGGATGAGGCAGGGACTGTCCTGTACCAAGGACTATTCCCATGGGAATGGGAACAGGAACGAGAACGGGAACGGGAATGGCATGGGGAGGGTCAGGAGGGTGAGGCAGGGACTGTCCTGCACCAGGGACTGTCCTGCACCGTCCTCCTGCGAGAACAGGAATGGGAATGGGAATGGGAACGGGAACGGGAATGGCACGGGGAGGGTCAGGAGAGTGAGGCAGGGACTGTCCTGCACCAGGGACTGTCCTGCACCAGGGACTGTCCTGCTCCATCCTCCTGGTGGGAACAGCACAGGGAAGGTGAGGCAGGGATGAGACAGAAGGTCCGTGCTGGGTGGGACCCCCCTCGCTCTCCCAAAGTCCATGGAGTCACACCAGGAGAACCTCAGGGGTCTCCGTGGAATCACACCAGGAGAACCTGGGGGTCTCCGTGGAGTCACACCAGGAGAACCTGGGGGTCTCCATGGAATCACACCAGGAGAACCTCAGGGGTCTCCATGGAATCACACCAGGAGAACCTGGGGGTCTCCATGGAATCACACCAGGAGAACCTGGGGGTCTCCAGAAAATGCTCCAGGAAACCAGGGGAAGGTTTCCAGCCCTGGTGTGGACGCACATCCCACCTGGGAGAGGGTGTCCCACCGGCCTTCATGGAACGGTTTGGGGTGGGAGGGACTTGGGGATCATCCAGTGCCAACCACCTGCCGTGGGCAGGGACACCTCCCGCTGTCCCAGGCTGCTCCAAGCCCCATCCAGCCTGGCCTTGGACACCTCCCCGAGGTTCTCACCAGTAGTCAGGGTTCTCCATCTTCTCCAGGAACATGTCCAGCTCGTCCTTGTTCCGGATGGGTTTGTAGATCTTCTTGCCATCCAGGTTGTAGCCGATGTGTGGGAAGTCCTGGTACCACTCCATGGGGATGTTTCCCACCGTGTTACGGATGTCCTGGAGGGGAGCAGAGGGGAGAGGTGTCAGGGAGACCTTGGAGCCCCTTTCCAGGGCCTGAAGGGGCTCCAGGAGAGCTGGAGAGGGACTGGGGACAAGGGATGGAGGGACAGCACACAGGGAATGGCTTCCCAGGGTTAGATGGGATATTGGGAAGGGATTTTTTCCCTGGGAGGGTGGTGACACCCTGGCATGGGTTGCCCAGAGCAGCTGTGGCTGCCCCATCCCTGGAATTGCTCTGCCTGTGCCCTGTAGCTCCAAACCCTCCTGGTGAGAGCAGAGCAAACAGCTGGATGAACAGGAATGGTTCAGGAGCAGGGGGACAGGGGCTGGTGGCAGGGGCTGCCCCTCAGGATGAGGAGAAAGGGACCTCTCTCCCCAGTAATGGGATCCATGTCCCACCTCAGCAGTTGGATCCATCTCCCCCCATCAGTGGGATCCACATGATCATATCAGTGGGACCCATATCCCCTCATCAGTGGGATCCACATCCCCTTAGCGGGATACACATCCTCACAACAGTGGGATCCACATCCCCTCAGCAGGATCCACATCCAATCATCGTGGGATCCACATCCCCTCAACAGCAGGACCCACATCCCCACATCAGTGGGATCCACATCCTCACATCAGTGGGATACACATCCCCACAGCAGCAGACATCAGCAGGATCCACATCCCCTTATCAGTGGGATCCACATCCCCTCAGCAGGATCCACATCCCCTCAGCAGGATCCACATCCCCACATCAGTGGGATCCACATCCCCTCATCAGTGGGATCCACATCCCCCCATCAGTGGGATCCACATCCCCACATCAGGGGGATCCACATCCCCTCATCAGTGGGATCCACATCCCCCCATCAGGGGGATCCACATCCTCACATCAGTGGGATCCACATCCCCACATCAGTGGGATCCACATCCTCACATCAGTGGGATACACATCCCCACATCAGTGGGATACACATCCCCTCAGCAGGATCCACATCCCCACATCAGTGGGATCCACATCCTCTCAGCAGAATCCACATCCCTTTAGCAGGATCCACATCCTCACATCAGTGGGATCCACATCCCCTCAGCAGGATCCACATCCCCTCATCAGTGGGATCCACATCCCCTCATCAGTGGGATCCACATCCCCACATCAGTGGGATCCACATCCTCTCAGCAGAAT